GTGTCGGAGAACCGCAGCCTTCTTTACAACGCCCACAATAGGGCTAAAGCGCCACCTGCTGTAAAACGAATGAAATTATTAGTTCAAGATTCGTTCACGACTCGTTCATTTTGCTGTTCGAGAGTCAAAGATTCGAATCAATAAAAAGAGGCGGTCTTCCCATCACTACAAGCCATGCCTTTGTTAGAGCCGGTAAAACAGCAGTAGCGTCAAGTCACACACCGACTGTTGGATAGGAGGAGAAATAGATACGGTTTCCTTCAAAATAAAAGTCACAAACAATACCCACTGTCGAGCTGCACTTTCAACCACAACCAGCTGCGCAGAAGTCATGTGTTTTCCTCATTCAATTTTATCACTAATTGCCTATATCAGCACGTCAGAGGTATTTTAATATCAGAGAAGACAGAAGCAGGGCGTACTGTAACTTTTGTTCTCTTACAACAGCAGCAATGTGCAATTCAGACAAATCTCATACATTGCCCTGGACATTGCCCTGGACTGCTGAATCCAGTGATTACTTGTTGAGGGATTTTTCAACCGGATTTATCTAATCGACAAAATGTATTTAATGTACCTCTTATTAAAACAATTATAGACTTCCAATGGTAACGGTCATCTCCGCGTGATTTTATTTTGAAATGTGTAACCGAAAGTATTGTGGATGAATCGCCTAATGGCGAAGGTGGGGGAGAAGGCGTGAATGACGAAAATACTGGGAGGAGAAAGAGGGAGCAGAAAGCATCAAAAACAGCCCGCAAACATCGGTCCTACTCTAGCTTCAGTTTAATCTCAGCCGGATGTGCAAGACTTTTCTTAAAGTAGACTTTAAACATGCTAATGGACCTCTTGAAATTTTGGAGGATTTTTTAGAATTTTTCCGAAGTGCTGAGTTGACCGAGCAGGTTAAAAGTTAAGGTGGATTCAGAAAATAAGGTCTGATGTGGAGCAGTAAAGGTAAAGAGGCTTCATGGACCGGAGTCAATTTTACTTTTTGGATTTTATCAATCATTCATCTGATTTATATTACTAATTACTAAAACTAATTATATTTTAATGTTTTTATTTAACCTGACTTTTTCTGTATAAAATGCGCCCTTAACTTTTTTAAAACTGCCGAGAATTTGTCGGTAGAGTGAAAATCTTTCGGCGCTAGAGAGAAAAAAAAGTGCTTAAAAGGGTAAGAAACTGTTATTCTACACACAGAAAACAAAAGCTATTACGTATTTCAATTATTTTTAGAAGGAAAAAAATCTAAATTGTATTCATTTTTCTATCTAAAACTAATTTCACACCGTTTTAAATTGTTTAGTGTCTTTAAAAAAATAGACACTATTTTTAAAGTATTTTTAGACATGTCAGGTACTTTAATAAAGAAAGACAATTAAAAATAGAACATTTACTTGATTTCAGCTCCCTGAAGAACTTCCAAGTACTTTTTTAAAATCTAGTACAACTTTTAAAAACACATTAGGTACTTTATGTGCTATTCTACCGGGGTCTTGGTTAATTCTTAACTTTGTGTGAGCAAAATTTAAAACAATTTAACTGCTTTAAACATGTTTGTGACCCCTCATGGCACTGTGCTCACGCATAGTCCAGATCTTGTTAAATGTTTTGATGTGTAGTACCTGGGCATTTTAAATACTTTTTAATTGATGGTACTGTACTTTTGTTACTACTATGTTATACATTAATTTAGTCTTACCTGTAGAGCATTGTACTTTAACTGCAGCCACAGAATTTCATTTTATCTGAAACTTTTATTTGTGTTTAGTAAATCGTTTTAATTTTCTATAGGTGCGAGACAATCCTCTCTAATCCTTTAAAAAAATAGAAATAAATAAGCTTTTTCAGGCTCTTTCTGTATCTGGGCCTTTAGTAATACCACACAATCAAAACACTGTACTTTGCTTTACATCTCATGTGCACAGCCTTTAACGCTTCTCAGTGACTGGATGTGTGTGTGGATTCCTCTCTTCTGGTATGAGTCAGACAAAGCACCTGTTTTTCATAAAAAATGCTGGATGATGAAACTGAGGACCGATTGCCAGGGATACAGGCATAAACCATGTGTAGTCTGCTGTTTGTGTCACATGGTATAGACTGATTATTTAACTTGCCTGCTGTCACCATAATGCAGTGAGCTGGACAGATTGTAATTTAGCATGTTCAGTTTCCGTCCATTCAGCGTAATTCACTTCTCTATTGTGTTCTGTGTACTGTCCTCATTGTTCTTTGTAAATTACCATCATATGTGGACAAATAGAATGATTAGTAGTTCCAGCAAAAGTACCATCCCAATTCCTTGCAGAGTAGTGCTAAAGCCAGTGTTGTGCTTTGTCACTGGACTTCACCTACCCAGTATGTTACCTTTGGCCTTTGCCTTCTCAGACCTTCTCATGACTTGAAAAGAAGCATTATGCTGACCCTGTTCCTTATGGTCGGGAGCAGGACAGGACAAAGGCCGCAGTGATTACTTAAAGGTGTTAGTGTCTTAGCAGACTCAAATGTCAGAGCTGTATGAAGTCTTTCTTTGGAAAAAGAAACTAAACCATGTGCTAATATTACAAGTATGTCAGTGATTCATTTATCTGCATATACATTCAGATAAAGTTTGGGTGAACAGTTTCTATAAATATTTCCATTTTAATCCTTGATTCCTATTTTGTTTTTGTGACCTTGAGTCTAAATGCTTGTGAAAGTCTTTGAAAGTAGAGCTTTAAAAACTAAGTTTAAAAAGTAGTGGCTGGAGCTAATTGATGGTTTTGCTTATATTTAGCAACTTTAAACTTAATCAAACTAAACTTCATCAACAAAGAAAAAACACTGGAAATGTCCTAGGGTCAGTGGCATAGGTGAATTTCAAACTTAACTGGTATTAGTGCAATGGGGCGATTTATTAGTGTTGTTTATATTGAAACAGTCCATTGTTATGGCCTGCAGCAACATGTGTTTTCATTGGGTTAATCCATCCACAGCAGGCTTTTCCGCTCACCAACACTCTGACTTAAATCCCGTGCCAACTCTGTGGCGGAAGTGTCATTTTTTTTCAAGTCAATACAGTTTGTTATGTAGATTGCTGTGTCAGGGACAAAATCATCGAATTGACTGCTTTGCTGAGTAGGCCATTTCAAATGGTTCATTTGAACTTACTAATGTTTTAAAGGTTGTGGGTTTCATGCTTCTCGTGTGGTTGCTGTACCAGATAAGCTTTTGTGATATTTCTTTTACATTCAGTAGCTTCACAGCAGTTTGTGCTAAAGCCACTGTCAAGATTAAAAAGGATTAAAAGAGTAAGGCTCCTGCTACTGAGAATTGGTTGTGTAACTCCAATAAAAGACTCACACTTAGTTCTCTATCTGAGATCACAGACATTAGACCAAAAGGGAATTAATGGGCTTTTTACACTATTAAATATACTCAAAGATTTTGAACAATTTCATAACATTAGACCAAAGTGCACATTAGCTGTTACATTCATCAATGTCATAAAATCAACCGTTACTCCCCGTCAAGTACCGTTGTCAGTTCTGACCATATGCACCCCTTTACAGCCTGTTTCCTTCATCCTATTCCAGTGTTTTCACTAGGGAGCGCTTGATACAAAGTTCTCATATCCATTACTGCAACTTGAATTATCTGCCAGTACCGTAAGTTAAGTGAACATTTGGGCTCAGGTATCGGCTCAGATAGGCTAGAGTTGTTTTTTTCTATGTTCGGTCCTAAAATTTTGACCAATATGGGATTAGTATCGTATCGAGGCATCCTTAGTTTTGAACTACTACCTCTGTAGAACAAGTCAGTAACACACTCAGCTACAACCAGTTTATAAAAAAAAAAACACGTCCCCATGGTCATTGTCATTACATCTGCGAGGCATGTCTAGGTATTTACTATTTCCAGGTAGCTTTCATGCTTGGACTAATACATTGTAACAAAGACATTATTAAGCACCACCAGGGTTGTCCTGATACCATTTTTCAAACTGATATTAACATGAGTAATATGTAGGTATAATTAGGCCTGTGAACATAACACATTTTGCTGGACGATATATTGTTTCACAAATTAATGCGGATAAACGATAATATTGTCAACATTATTTTGAGACCAAATTAACCACTAATGTAATGATAATATATCATGCAACCAACAATAAAAAAGGGGTCTCTCACTGACACGTTTCCTATATGCCATCAAAATGAACCCCAATCCTCCATAACATACGGGAAATGGGAGCTGCTAATTTGGCTCTCCCAGCTCCAGCAGAGATCTCCCAGTAGGGTCAATATTTTGCATTGTTTGGTGACATGGTGACCAGTGATGGATCACTGCACACTTGGATAACAGCATCCTTGATTTCTGTCACCAGTTTGGTCCCTAATTTGATTACACTATTAACACCCGCAGCAACTGCACTGGATTAGTCAAGAGGTTCTACAAATGTTGTGCCCTAACTATGTTAACAAAACAGTGTGTGCCAAAAGCTTTCAGTTGGCAGTTTTTAATGTCAGCATTGAGCCAAATGTCTTCTCTAAGCCACTAATACTCATTATTTATTAATATTATTATTATTTTATAATTTGTTTGTATTATTTAAGGGTATGGTAACATTTTTTATAAACTGCATGGGAAAGTGCCAAATTCTTGTTTTGTGTATGCAGATCATATATAAGAAACATTTTGGTCAATTGTTTTAAAAACTTAATTACATTTGCAGCATTTAGGGTTTAGAAGTTTTTGCAGTCACTAGTTCTTTAAATTATAAAAATGTGTCTATATTGAAACTTTCTTACAGATTCTACAATGGAAAATAAGTAAAGTTAAATAAATATTTCAAGAATGTACTAATATGAATCAATAGCTTCCTGAACAAAAACAATCAATATCTTTGAATTGACAAAATGATACCCCAAAAAACAAGAAAAAACATTTAATTAATGTTGAGCAAAAATAAAATGTATCATGTGCTTAATAGTTATGATGGGTCAGAGTTCAATTTTAACAGAGGTGCACCACCTGAAATTTATTGAAAGTTTTAAAAGAGTTTACCTTTACCTTCATTTGTCTTAGCAACATGTATACTTGTTTTTGTGTAGCTTTACTGTCTTATCTTCCTGCACCTCCAGATTTAACCCCCTCCAGGCTTCTCAAGCTCTGGTTGATTGTGGGTGTAACTCCCCTTATCTGTTTCCTCTCATATATCTTAAGTAGAAGCAGAACCAAACACTCTTTTGCCTGGAATTTTGAAGGTAACTTGTCCTGTAATTCCCTACTTTATGTAAAATTGTATTAAGAAACAATAACACAAGTGAATTTAAAAAGCTGAAATAAAATAATATTTTGTTCTTAACTTATTGAGATTAGAGATTAAAGAATGGAGTTACTTAGCTAAAAAGTTGCGATTTAATTTAGCAATTGTTTACTTTGATGATGATTTTTTAAGTCTTTACAGGGTCGTACTGAGCAAACTTAAACTATTATCTACTGATGTTCCCACAGGCAGAATCAAGGCTCTGCCTAAACACAAATACGTCATACACACGTCATTGTTGAGAAACTCTTTGGGAGCTTAGAATACCATCTCCAGACTGACTTCTAGACCAGTGAATAATGTTACAACTGAAAAGCTGATTTACACAATTGTCAAATTTAATGTGAGGGACTATAGACTGATTAATACTCAAAGTCAAAGTCAACTGTATTGTCAAATATGCCATACATACAGAACATATGGCACAATGAAATTGCTCTCCTTTCAGACCCACATACTGTTGACGACAATGACTTCTCTCTTTTCTCTCAATTTTTTAGTAATGTCGAGCTTCAGTAGTAATTGCGGACCAGACCAGAGCTATTAGATGAGTCAGTAATGGATGTTCAGCAGTGAATCTTTCAAAGTCAAAGTCATGCTGTGCTAAAAACAGTGTGTTTTGCTCTATTTCTTCAGTTAAGGACGTGCTCTAAGATATGTGACAGACAGCCATGGGAGTGAAGAAACAGTGGCTTGAGGCTTTAGTCACCACCACTCTCACCATTTGTCTGCCTTGTAAGTAAACTAACCACATACAGCCATCACATTTATTTTACAGTTTTGACAGGCATACCTCATTCTCATTGTTGAGTGTTTGAAGGGGACATATTATGCTACTGGTAATGCAAATTGATATTTTTCCTTGATTTCAAATGAAATATTAGTGACATGCTTTGGTGGAATAAAGAAAGTTGAGGATTGACCACACCTTGATTCTTCAACACTTAACACCCAAGTCTGAACTTCTGATTTTTGTGCCTTTTTAGTATTAGTAATTACCCATTGCATGCTCTGCCCACATCTTCCTCAAGGGGAAGACTCAGAGACTCTCAGAGAGAGTTTCATGTAACCATGGCAGCAATTTAGCAGTGAGAGAAAAGGCACAAATATATTCATGCCCAATTTGGTGTCTTTTGTGCACGTGTGTAGTAAGAAGCATATACTATTCTGGCACGTATGATAAACTGGCAGGACACCATAAAACAAACCACATTCCTGAAGAAGTCACAATCAGATTTTTAATTTGATTTTATAAATCAAATTAATTGTTGGGCAGTTTTGGATTTGAGCTAAATAATTTGAACCTTTTTTTATGCAGCCCTTTTGAGCAGTTCTTGAAAAAAAAAGTTTCTGTTGTGTTTTGTCAAATGTTCAGATAAAGAGAGATTTATATTCATGCACTTCAGTACGTTTTATGAAAGATGGAGGAGAGAGCAGCTGATTTTCCTGAAAGGTTGGCCTTTTGTTTAAAACAAAGGAAATAAAAATGATGTGATTTGGAACTACTTCGGTTTTGAACTCAGAGTTGTCAGCATAGTAGATAGCCTAAGCTGGCCACTGCTCACTAAGCTGGTATGCAGTGATATGCAGGGTCAGAATGACGCACTTTTCTTTGGTTCTGTCGAACATATATCAATCATACAAGCTATGTTTGTTCCGAGTACAATACCATATAGTTTCTGATATTAATTTTTATTTCTCATTTGCATAGATATGACTTATATATATTCACTTAGTTTAAATTTCTTTGCGCCTTGGTTTTTCCACACGCATGACAATGTGCATAAAGAGGATGATGTGGTCAAAATACTCATTTGCCTAATAATTCTGCACTCCCTGTATAAAGAAATTGCAGACCAGACCAGAGCTATTACATGAGTCAGTAATGGATGTCCAGCAGTGAATCTTTGAAAGTCAAAGTCTTGCTAAAGACAGTGTGTTTAGCTCTTTTTTTAGTTAAGGACATGCTCTAAGACATGTGAGAGACAGCCATGGGAGTGAAGAAACAGTGGCTTGAGGCTTTAGTCACCACCACTCTCACCATTTGTTTGCCTTGTAAGTAAACTAACCACATACATCCATCACATTTATTTTTTGAGAGGTTTTGCAACAGTTATACCGACCTTAGACATCATTTCAGTTAGCTGTATGGTTATCGATTATACAGTAATCAAGTTAATGGACCTGCAAACCTATTAATAATGTATGTAATAGATTGTACTACTTGTAACAATGTATTTTAAACCTTCGGATGCACAGCAGTAGATTTGTTTAAAGTCAGTGCTGTAAAAGTATATGTTTAGAGATGTTACTAGTAGCCACCCATCTTATGAATCATGTAGGCCATAAGGTGAACTCGATTATCGTTTCAT